TTGAGAATTTAGAAATTTTTGAAAATATTCAATTATAGATATTCGAGATATTCTCCAATATTAGTAAGAAATCGATATTTTTAATTTTGATATTTTTGAAATTTTTCAAAATTTTGTTTTTTTTTTTTAAAATGATGAAAAATTTCGAGAATTAGAATTTTTTGAAACATGAATTTTTTTTTGTAAATTTTCAAAATACTAAATTTTCTGTAAATGGATTTTTGCACGCTGTTTACTCAAGCAAAATATTTTTTCAATTAATCTAATCGGATGATTTGTTCTCACAAAAACTGCATGACAATTTTTGCACGCTCCAGTCTTCCGAAATTAAAATTTTGAAATTAAAAATTTACACAAAATGTACACATTATTAAAATTTCTATAAAATATCTGATAATTTGATGTATTAATGTCCAATAAACATTTAGGACAAATAGCATTTTTTTAACTTATTTTTATTCACAACCGCTGAACCTGCCTTTAAAAAATTTAATCAGTTCTTCATCATGTCTATACAAGTAAAATGTACTTTGAATTATTAAATCGGACGCTCCGTTCTCTTAAAAACTGAGTTGGCGTTTTTGGCACTTTTTTCCCCATATCACCGGAACGGCTAGACCTGCCTTCGCCAAAAACCAATCAGCACATCTCCTTATCAATACGAATCGAATGTTGTTTGAATTATTCAATTCGGTTGATCGGTGTTCCCGAAATCGTCGACGAAAATTTGTATCAGCACACACACAAATATAAACACACATAGACACATTTTATGAGAAATTAGATATTTTGTCGTAAAAAGTTATAATAGTTCTATCAGTTTTAATAAGTTACTTATAAGTCAGTAAGATGATATTACTATCATCAGTGGTTACTTCGGTGCCTTTATATGGTATATCAATATGGACTGATGATCTCAAAATTTAAAAATCGAGGAGAATGGCAGGACCTATATATTCTGAGTGCTTTAAGAATTGATGCGCATTTTGCACAATATCGGAGGAAGCAGTGTGTGTCATTTTAGGAACTGTGTCTCTCTTAGTCTTAGCAGAGACGGACAAGTTACGATCGAAGACGTCAACAACTGAGCCCTAAAAAGTTGAGAATAGGAGAAGGGCAGAACAGCATTGACCGATAGCAGCAACTGAGGGCAGATGGACGCATCGTCTCATTACAAACATGAAAGTCTGGCTAAATCACAAGCATGGAGAACTGAATTATTACATTACGCAAATGCTATCTGGACACGGCTGTTTTCGAGCCTACCTACACCGCTTCAAGCACGATAGCTCCTCGGATTGCCCATATTTTTTGGGCGAAATCAAAGATGCTGATCACATGTTTTTCGTGTGCCCGCAATTTGGTACTCTACGGGACGATGTGGAAGAGACATTGAGGCAGAGAATTACCTCAGGTACTGTTGTTGAAGTGATGCTGACAACTAGAGCTGCTTGGAACGCCATAAACAGATTTGTGAGAGAGGTGCTAATTGACGTGCGTTCTAAGAAAAGAAAAAAGACGAATGAAACTTTGCCCATTTGAAAGATGAGTATAAAATCAAGTTAAAAATGATAACATTCTAAATCCTCCCCCACGAAGTAACGCCTAACGGCGGTTTCCGTGGGGACCAGAGGCAAGGGCAAAGCGGAGATTTTAGTCGGCATTGATTTCGACATACCGAGACAAAACACCAGTCTGGATGCATAAAAACATTTCCTTCGCTATACAAAAAAACATACATACATACATTCATTATTTCTAAGGTATACCAAAATGTTTTGAGAAAAAAAATTGAATTTTTTTTTTTACAAAAGCAATTATTATGTGAAACATGCAGAAAGTTTTTTGAAACATTCGAATCAAATGCTTAGTTCTATCAAAAGCTGCCATGTTTTGCACAGATAGCCTGGTATCTCGAAAACGGCTAGACCTGCCATTGGCAAAAACTATTCAGCACATCTCCCTATCAATTGGAATCGAATGTTTTTTGAACCAATCAAATCGGTTGATCCGTGCGCCCGAAAACGTGAACGAAAAAATGCGGACTCACAAAACACACACACTGTTCAGAAACCTTAAAAACGTAAAGATATGCAACAATTTTCATTTTTGATTTTCGGCCCAATATTATAACTACTCTACGAGAAGTCAAAAAAATAGCAAAATGCCTCGTCATCTTACTAGTGACGAGCATAAATGGATAAACAAGATTCCCACTGTCCCTATATACTATGTCCCTATTCCCACTGAGATTATAGAGATTGTCTATATTGATCACTGACCCTATGATCTGTTTCAAAGGTCAGAGCTGGAACGCAATCATATAATATGCGTAGAAACATGCACTTATAAAGAATGCTTCTATCTCGTAAACTGCTACATGCAGTTCTCAGTCGACATAAATAGCTTCCTGCAAAAGATGGACAAAATTCTCAGAAATCTGGATGACCGGAGCATCATTGTCACGGCCGACTAAAATGCAAGATCTGATCTGTGATTCTCCAGATCAGAGGTAAGGAACTAGAGAAGTGGATTACCTCTAATAACCTAGTTTTGTTCTAGATTGTTCTAAATTAGCTTAGTCGCAACTTCATATACCGAATTAAAACTGAGACACCAATATAGACCTAATACTAACAACCTCAAATATGCCTTCGAAAGTGATCAATTGGAATATGAGTGATATAGCGACCGCCAGTGATCACAGCTTTTTAACATTTGAAGTAGTGCTTGCAGCGACAGTCGCAAGACAAATAAAGAATCAAACAGGGTAATAAATCTGTCCGTGATATGTGTATACCGCTGGAAATAAGGTCATGCCTTCGTGGTCGAAGTAGCTCACTTGCCTAAGGCGAGACACTGACTTATAGAACTAAAAAATGTCTCTTGCGGGTCAAGAGACTGTGCCTTGACGATATATTGATCAGAGCACAGGCATACAAAAGAGAGAGAAATAGCTACGTTAGAGAAATAAGAAAACACAAAACTACCTCATGGAGCGACTTTGTGACCAGCGTAGGTAGTAGAAATCCCTGGAGTATAGTATACAAAATTGTTTGTGATAAAGTAAACAAGAAAGCTTCCCTATGCTCACTTGAACTCCCTTCCGGAAATTTCAGTGAAACATGAGAAGAAACCGTAAACGTCCTTCTAAATAAGTGCATTTCCGCATACGATCAGCAAGAGAACGCTGATCACCTCAAAATCAAAGAAACTATACGCCAGTACCTGAACCAGAACTTTGAACCAAGCATCGACTCTGTCGAGGTAGAAGAAGCACTTCAAAAACTAAAATTCAAAAAAGACCCAGGAGAAGACGGTTTCACTGGCGAAATTATTAAAAAAAAGCTGTGATGCCAAACAAACCACCAGCAAGAAGGTAGTTTCCTACCGTAGCAAACTACTAGCAAGAAGGTAGTTTCCTACCGATTGGAAACAAGCAAAACTAATTCCCAAACGAAGGAGTGAAAACAGACGGCTTGCAAAATCATACCGGCCATTTGCCCTACTGCCAGTCACGGGAAAGTACTTGTAGAGCGTATTAACGCAAAGTATAGAGAAATAAATATGTGCAGTGCACGACAGTTGGGTTTCTCCACAAAGGACACAATGCTAACCTTCAGAAAAGGCATGGCAACCGACATGAGGTATGTACTTGCTATATTTGTGGATATTGAAGACGCCTTTATAAACCTCTGATAGCCCGCTTTCCAAAAATCGTTAGGAGAAGCATGCAGAATTGATGTCCACAAAGATCAAGAATTGGATCTGTTGCATAAAATTTCTGTATGGACTTTCTTCTAGATGGTAGTTAGCTCAGTTAGAAGGAACAGTGGAACCTGCAGCATACGCAGACAACTGGGCGCTAGTAATCAAAGAAAATTCCAGAAATGATCTGGAGAGAACTGGCTTTATGGTGCTTAAGTATGTTGAGGATCGGTGCGTGGCGCATAAACTAAAAATAAGCAGTGGAAAAACAGTCGCAATGATGATGAAAGGCAAATTTAATGAAGGTAGACAGACTATTAATACTACTACTACTACTCCAAGTATGATACTTGGGAATTACTATAGATAACAACCTAAACTTTACTAAGTTCTTAAGAGAGAAGCTAGTCAGCTTTATCCTGAAAATCAGAAGGGTTTCAAAGAAAAAATCGGGTCTTATAGGAGGCACTCTTGATACCCTGTTTAAGAGAGTGGTAATACTAATAGCAGAATAAACTGTCAGTAGTGAGCGAGCAGCCCAAGTACAAACACCATCGTGCAAGTCAAAGCGAAATTGCTGCGGTTTTGTGTAAACACGGCGTGTGTGCGGCCATCTTAGACAATAAACTGTCAGTAGTGAGCAAGCAGCCCAAGTACAAACACCATCGTGCGAGTCAAAGCAAAATTGCTGCGGTTTTGTGTAAACACGGCGTGTGTGCGGCCATTTTAGACAATAAACTGTCAGTAGTGAGCGAGCAGCCCAAGTACAAACACCATCGTGCGAGTCAAAGCGAAATTGCTGCGGTTTTGTGTAAACACGGCGTGTGTGCGGCCATCTTAGACAATAAACTATCAGTAGTAAGCGAGCAGCCCAAGTACAAACACCATCGTGCGAGTCAAAGCGAAATTGCTGCGGTTTTGTGTAAACACGGCGTGTGTGCGGCCATCTCAGACAATAAACTGCCAGTAGTGAGCGAGCAGCCCAAGTACAAACACCTTTTATAACCGGTCAAGCCATCTTGCAGTGTTTTTTACATAAATAACGCCATCTTTCTGAAATAAACGATCATCACTACCCATTCTGTTAGGAAGCGCGCGTATCGGTGACAGAGCATCGCCGCCACTAGAGGGTGTAACTTACAAAAAACAAACTATAAAATTAATTCCAAAATAATCATGGATGAAATTATGAAAGCTCTTAAAAAAATTCAGCTGAAACTTGACGACCAGATAAAAAAGAGATTCATAACAGTGTATTAAAGGTTACAGAACAGGTCACACAAAACATTAACATGATATTAGAGGAAAAACTTCTTGCTTTGGAAGAGAAATATGTGAAACTCAAGGAGATAGTGGACAACCAAGAGAAGAGGAGCTACTTCCTAGAAAAACAGGCGAGACAAAGAAACATAGTTATTTTCGGTATCGAAGAACTGGAATCTTCATACGAAACCTTACAAAAACATATGCTCAATTGGTTAGACCTACACTTTTCAATCAAATTAACAGATGCCGATCTACAAGTGCTTAGAAGGCTAGGAAAAAAGGGCGATAAACCACGACCCACTCTGATATCCTTCTCAAATCTCAGCACTAAGATAAATATATTGAAACAGAAAAAAGAACTGCGCGACACGTGCTACTATATGAAGGAAGATTACCCAAAACAGATCCTAGAAAAAAGAAGACAATTACAGGAACAGCTGAACATAGAGAGAGAAAATGGCTTTCCTAAAATATGACAAACTAGTCATACCTAAACAAACATCCAAAAGAAAGTTTTCTGCATCGCCATCAAAACTCACAGAAGAAATGTCAAAAGGAAGAATTACACAGACAAACAAAAAAAAATAAGCCACAACATCAAGAAATATCACTGAGAAGATGTAACAGCATTACCGAAGGAGTAAACAAACCGAGCAAGCTAAATTTCCTTACAAAAAATACAGCACAGGGACAAGAAACTACAGAAAGCAATGCGTAGCAAACAGCTGCTCCTCTCCATATCAACCCAACAAACTACTATTCAACAAAACATAACATAACAAATCCTCCAACTCGGTTGGTCACCGTGGAGGATTATGACTACAACCCTCCAAAGAAAACTATAACACCAAGCAACAAAAGCAACAATAAAAATTGCTTACTTAAAATACTTACATTCAATGTCAAGACTCTATCAACATACGAACGACAATTAGAATTAGAAAATTGTTTAAGCGCTATAAACTATGATATAATGGGAATTTCAGAGGTAAGACGTCAAGGTTGTGAAATTAAGGAATATGATAACTTCATTCTTTGCTGTATAGGACAGACAGCAGGTCAATACGGAGTAGGTTTCATAATAAACAAGAAGATAAAAAATAACTAAGAAAGCTTATTGGTATATCGGAGCGTTTAGCCATACTCAATATAGACATTGGAGGTCATACGATATCCATTCTTCAAGTCTACTTTCCTACGTCAGATGCAAAAGAAACGGATATCGACGAATTATATGAGTCAATTGAGGAAGCATTAAAAACGGCGCACAAACACGTCATACTTATGGGTGACTTCAACGCGAAGGTGGGCACATCAAAAAAATACCAGGAATTGGTCGTGAAAGAACATGGCTTTGGCACAGGTATAACAGGGGACAGAAACTTGTTAACTTTGCACTCATACACAAGCTAACAATAGTAAATACCTGCTTTAAGAAAAAAACAAATCGGAAATGGACCTGGAAGTCGCCGAATGGACATAAAAACGAGATTGATTACATTCTCACAAACCAAATTCGATCATTTACAATCTTCGAAGTCTTAAACCTGAACTACTCATCTGACCATCGCGCCATCAGAGGTACAGTAAAAATATCTAAACATAAACCAAGCAGAGCGCGTTTTACCAATAAACCAGTTTGTCAATTCAATAGTGCAAAAGAAATAGAAATTTAAAAGAACCATCTTAAATCTACATTACCTGTGCTAGCAAATCAACAAGCAATGGATATGATACAAAACTATTACGATACCATTAGTAACACTATTTTAGAAAGCCAACAACTTGCACATACCAAGACAAGTAAGCAAAAATACAAAATATTACAAGAGAAAACAGTAAAACTGCTACAAAGAAGAAAAACACTACAATCAACCAAGAACAAAACGCGTGCTATGAAAAACGAACTCTCTGCTTTGTACAAAATAATTAATAAATATATAAAAAGTGACTACTCAAAATACAGACAAGACACTATAATGAGCCAACTACAGCTTTCTGGTAACACGAAGAAACCATTTAAAATACTTCGTACAAATACAAATAATCGCTGGATAAAAGAATTAAAAAACCTGGACAAATCTATACACAAACGAAAAGACATTGTAACTACGGCTACAGAGTTTTATACTAATCTGTACAGTGACAATACCAACACGATTACAACATCATATTATAACAATAAAATATGCCAACTTAATGACTTCATAGAGATCAACGAATCCGAAGTGGTAGAAACTATAAAGAAACTAAAAAAAGAAAAATGCCCAGGTCCCGACAACATCTCAAATGAAGCTCTAATAAATGCTCAGTTAATTTTGGCTACACCGTTAGCAAAACTGTTCAACCTAATACTCCAGTACTCTATAACGCCCTTTCAGTGGTCCGAAGCAAACATCATACTAATATATAAAAAAAGAGATCCCAAAAATATTGGCAACTATAGACCTATTAGCCTACAACCTAGCCTGTAAAAACTATTCTCTACAATTATAAACAAAAGAATAAGTACAACACTAGAAAGGAAGCAACCCGTGGAACAAGCGGGTTTCAGGAAAGGATTCTCTACAAGTAACCACATTCATACAATAGAGCTAATTATAGAAAAATATCAGGAGCAACAGAGAACATTATATTTAACTTTCATAGACTACCAGAAAGCCTTTGACTCCGTTTCACACAGCAGCATATGGGAAAGCTTGCGAGAGCAAGGAGTTGAAGAAATATACATAAAAACCATACAAAGTATATACAATAACATCAAAGGAAGAATCAAACTAGAGTCTATCGGTCCTAGTTTTTCCATAAAAAGATGCGTAAGGCAGGGGGATCCTTTCTCTCCAATAATATTTATTTCAATCCTAGAGAACATTATTGAAAAGCTGGATTGGCGTAAATTAGGCATCTATATAAAAGGCAAACATTTAAGTCATCTTAGACTTGCAGACGATATTGTGCTTTTGTCTGAATCGGCCGGTCAAATGCAATTCATGTTGGAGTCTTTGCATCAAGCCAGCGTCCAGGTTGGCCTGGAGATGAATTCAACCAAAACAAAAACATTAACAAACAACAGACGAAAATTTCCAATACTAATCAATAACAAGCCAATTGATTACGTCGATAATTACATATACTTGGGAAAACTATTAAGTTTTGACAAAAACAACGACAAATATGAAGTAGAAAGAAGGTTACAAAAAACTTGGAAGAAATATTGGGATTTAAAAGAAATATTCAAAAGCAATATGCCGATAGATATCAAAACGAAAGTGTTGAACTCTAGCCTGCTACCATGCTTTACTTATGGTTGCCAGACGTGGAAATTTTCATCCAAAACCATAAATAAAATTAAAACCTGTCAAAGGGGACTAGAGAGGAGCATGTTACTATCAGAAACTTAAAACAGACGCAGTAACTTATGCATTAAAACAAAAATGGAGATGGGCCGGGCACGTTGTGAGATGCACAGATAAAAGATGGTCAAAGAGAGTAACATCATGGAATGGTCCAGCGGGTAAGCAAAATCGTGAAAGACCACTAACCAGATGGGAAGACGACCTGAGACGAACAGCTGGCACGATCTGGAGAGATATTGCATAAGATAGAGAAGCATGGGCATCTTTGGAGGAGGCCTATACCCAACCCGGGGTTCTTGCCGACTAACTCTATACATCGTGTACTGAGTTTATATTACATATTACAGTAATGTTCTGTATATACACGGTTATGTTAAGTTAGTATAATCATGGATAAAAATTTGTAAAAAAGGCAAGAAATAAAAGGCTTATTTATTTAATACTAATAGCGACCTATAGTGCTGCTGCATGGTTTGACTAGTTGACTCATACGCATGCCGTACCACAGCAACCAATGCTCTTCAAACAATAAGCGGAAAAATGCCACTTGACTTAGAGGTTATACAGCAAGGAATCATAAACCTTCTAAAAAGAAACGAACGAAGTTGCTGGAATAATTACAACTATAATAAAATAGCGAACCTAAACAATGAAACCCTCAACCTGGAGGTTAAAAAGATAAAGGAGGTTATCAAACCTCGCATTGAGCAAAAGGGCATTTGCTGGTTTAATCCCGTTCTTCAGAGTGCGCAGGAACTATAAAAGCACGGCCTATCGATTCTTTTGACTTGAAAAGATTTCAGCAAGAGGTGTGAAAAAAGTTACCGCAGGGATAACTGGCTTGTGCAGCCAAGCGTTCATGCGACGTTGCCCTTTGATCTTTCGATGTAGAATTTGCTAAGCGTTTGATTGTTCACTTACAATCAGGTAAGGTACCGTCGTGAGACAGATTATATTATTCTACTGATCAATTGTCGTTGCGATAATAATCCTGCTCTGTACGAGAGGTACCGCATTTTCAGACAATTAGTTCATGCAGTCGGTCAAACGGCCGGTAGTGTGAAGCTAACATCCGTAGGATTTGTCTGAACGCCTCTAAGACAAAATAAGCAACTATATCTCTAGAAGTCTCGCGAGTTGAAAGGCTCAATACAATATGATTTATTAGGTATGCGACACAGGCCGTTTATTGCACAAGCCCTTTTAGCCAAATGAGGCAATGGGCAGTTATGGTATCTATCCGCTACATCTGTCCTGCCTATAGCGGTTGATCATGGGTCACTAGTTTGATGTCGGGATGCGGAATTGTTTGAAAACGACTAAGATACCTGACAAGGTGTTGCTCTCGGTAGAGCAGTTACTACGCTGCAATCTGTTGAGACTCAGCCCTTGGCGTCCGTATTCGACATGTTGGCTTCACGTCACCTCCCGCTATTAGAGCATAAGCATTCTACAATTAGTATGACTTGACGGTCGAAAACTTGTTAATATAACATGTTTACATGTGTACATGTGACACTTCTTTTGTAGTTCAAAACTTATTGGCACAGTCCGATACTACATATAAATATTCATTATTTCTGTCAATAACTATAATGCTATAAAAATAGTTATAAAAATTTTGAGAGTTAACGAAAGAGTATTTGTTTTTAAGAGAAACTTTTCACACTTCTTATTATAAATATATGATATAATTTATATAATTATATATAAGGGAGAAAGTTTTTTGCTGAGTTTTTTGAGAATGCGTACAAATTACCAAATAATTAAAATGCGTATAAGTTGCTGATAAAAGCAAATACGTATAAGTTGCTAATCAAACAAAGTACGTATAAGTTATCAATAATGCAAAATACGTGTAAGTCGCCAATTGTGCAAAATACGTGCAAGTTGCCAATCATGTAAAATACGTGTAAGTTGTTTATAATAGACAATACGTGCAAATTGCTATTTTTATATAATTTTTGTATTATTCTTTAAATATATAATAAATTAACTTAAATTGATCCGAAATCTTGCATCGAAACATATAAAAACATTCCTCTGATTTTTAAAATTAGTAACTTACATGTACCTAAAAAAATGTCAAGACAACTTTTGAGTCAACGGGAATGTGCAAT